CCGCCCACATGATATGCTGGCTGGTTTGGTTTTGTCTAATGTCTACCATCTATTATCTCATTCTTTAAAGTTACTCCACTCCGTATATTATTGCACCTGGCGATCGATCTAAACATGAATGGGGATTTGTTGAGAGACGTAGTACGACTGTATGTATATGTATATATTGTGATATTGTGAAGTGGGAAGTTAATTAGTTTCATTCTCTTAATTGTTTACCTTCATCTGTTTAATTAACTAATCTTCAGTACAGTATAGTATGTAGTTGGAATGAAACGTTACGTTCTTGCAAGATAGATATACATCCAACGACATTATAAGGTACGTGCATCTATCTAAACATAAATATATAATTTTGAACCATTAAAAAAATACATTATAATTTTACCTTGTAGCGGTTAGAAAAGATGTTTTAACTCCACTTTTGATCCTATATTTATTACGTGATGGACACATTTTGTCCGAGTTTATTAATTTAGTCACATTTTGCCCAGCCTTTTTAAAAGGTGGACACTTTTGGTCCACCGTTACATTTGTTGTTAAACAGCCGTGAAGTGGGAGGGCAATTATGTACTTTCACGTGCTATTATTCATCAGCCTTGATCCTGTGGAACAGCTCCTCCGAGAGGTCTAGCGAGAAGGCAGCGTTGGAAGATTGCTCCGGGATGGCCGGGATCGTGGTCGGCGGTGATGAGTTGGGTAAGAATGTTTGGGTTTGAACCGTACTCTATAACTTGGACAACTGTACTACTACCTGCAAAATTTTGTCATGAAGAAGAGAAATTCTGCGTCTCTTACCTGGACAACTACTACCTGCAAAATCCCTATTATGAAGAAGAGAAACTTTGGGTCTCTTAACTAAACCGTATTCTGGGTTTGATCGATGATGGAGATCAAGAAACTTGAAGGCCGACGAAGAATAGCACGTGAAAAGACACAATTGCCCTCCGGCCTATTTCACGACTCATTAACATTAAATGTAACGATGGACTAAAAGTGTCCACATTTTAAAAAGACTGGGCAAAATGTGACTAAATTAATAAAAACGGGCAAAATGTGTCCATCGGACAATAAATGGGACCAAAAGTGAAATTTACTCTAATATGTATGAGATACAATTAAAAAAAATACAGAAGAAAATAATGGAACAAAAACTGTATCATTTGACATTTTCAGATGTGTACTCACTTTCCTATGTATAAGTGTTTAACTTCTCGTCATTCTCGAGTGAATTCCACCGGAGGTCCCTTGTCTTTGGTGGCGAATGGTGGGCTTTGACAGATCCCGCATGTCGATCCGCTTTGACAACTCTAATACTTTATTTTTTTATCAATAATATGAGTGGGGTAAATTATGCCCTGGAAACGTGTTCACCGAGAATGGTGAACACAAGTCCAAACGACGTCGTTTTTAGGTAAAAAAAAAAAAAAAATCACGGATGTGGAGTTAACGACACGCGTTTGATCAAATTATGAATTTTCTGTTATGAGATTATGAATGTAATGAAAATTCATAATCTCATAACAGAAAATTCATAATCGCATAAAAGTAAAATATTTATTAAATTATAAATTTTCTGTTATGAGATTATGAATGTAGTGTAAATTCATAATCTCATAACAGAAAATTCATAATTTCATAACAGAAAATTCATAATCTCATAACAGAAAATTCATAATCTCATAATTGAAAATTCATAATCTTATAACAAAAAATTCATAATCTCATGGTTCCAAAGTGAATGTGTAGGCATGGTTCCAAAGTGAATGTGCAGGCATGGATTCATAATTTATGAATGTGTGTGATTTCAGACGGGAATGTGTAGGCATGGTTCCAAAGTGAATGTGCAAGCATGAATTCATAATTTATGAATGTCCGAAATCATTGCTCACCTCAAATTAAAGTGAAATCGCAAAATGTGAAAATAAAGAAGAAAAGTCACACAATTAATTAAAAAACAAAAAACAAAAAAACAAAAAAAAAAAACAAAAAAAAAGATAACGATGTACTAACACCGTTGGAACTCCATGGCATAACGATTGATATGAGTGGACCTTAGGCTTATTATTTATTTTAATGGTAACCCAATTGTGAATATTATATGGCTCAATGTCCAATTGATATTTGTTGTATTTTCCTCGCATTTCAACTCATATTTATAGTTGGTTGGTCCATTGAAAAATTATCAACCACATACAATAGTTGATGACTATAAGTAGAAGTTAATCGCTTAACTTAATTAAAAAAATGAGATTACCAAAATGAAAATATGTGATTTATTTATTCCAAAGAAAAATGCACAATTCTTGTCCATTAATTATGTCTAAATTGTAGACTTCGTTCATAAATTATTGATCTATGTAACTTTTTTCCTTTAATTATGTTGAAAGTGGTTGTTTCAATCCATTATTTATAATTTTTGTTAAAATTAAAAATTTACCTTGATTTGCCAAATTATTAGAGGACAATTTGAACATTTTGTAAAAATTTTCAAGTATAACAAAATAAGCATTCACATTGATGATTTCAAGTGAATGTTAGGTTTGTTGTAATGTTGATTACACGAAAATATAAAATGAATTTTCTTTATTATTAAATAATAAATTTAGTTCTTAATTATTTAATGCATGTATTAGTAATTTTTGGATTTTTAATCATATTTCAATTTTGACATTCTCATAATGAATAATTAGAAAGTAATTTTTTTGTCTATAATTTAAAGATTAAAATTACAATGTGATATGATTAAAACTAAATCGCAATGCTATACAAATTTTGAAAATTATGTTCATGATAAACAATGTAACAACTGATTTTTTTTATTCAAAATAATTGAGAATGAATTGAATTTAAATTTTCTGAAAATAATTGCTTGAAATATTGATTATATTATTTATCATGAAAAATAAATTATTAAAAATTATTAGTATAAAGACTCAATTGCTCTTGTATAATAAAGATATGCAAGTGTTATATATAAATTCATATTATATATTTTATCAAAGTGTGAAAAATAAAATATATAAAGAGATTAAGGATTCCGTTTTCTAGAAATAAACAAAAAAAGAAAGAGGAAAATAGTAATTTTAGTCCATTAGTTATGCATAAATTGTAGACTATGAGCATCACCACCACGGGATATTGCACATTTTCTAAGAAAATAATAGCCATGTTGGCAGAGAGAGGATTGGGGTTTCTCTGCAAGAGAGAAAATAATGTCAGCAAAGTGGGTCCCACACTGATTTTGGACAAGTTGTGACAGCCTCTCGTGGCTGTCACAAGTGCGCCTAGCGAGCGCACATGACAGTCACTTTTTATTTTTCATCAGTTTTGTTTATTTTTTTCTCCCTTCCCATATTTTATTTCATAATCACACTTACAAAAACCCTTCAAAAATCGTAGCAGAGTAAAACTACTAAGGGCATCCCCATTAAGGGATTTGTGCACAAATTTTAAGAAAAAAGAAGATGAGTTGGAAGAAAGAGAGTAAAGAGAGAAAAATTGGGTGTGCCCTGCAAAAATGGAGACTTTGGCAGTGGGGTGAGTCCCTCAACAAAGTGGAGAGATGCGTGAGGCGCAACTCTCGCGCCCAGGTGGGCGCGTAATTTATTTATTTTTGTTTTTTTTTTATAAATATATTTCTAGATTTTTATTTTCTTTTTTGTTTCTCCCTTTCATTTTTTATTTCCTAATCACACCTGCAAAATTTCCTCAAAATCTTCACACTATTGAGGATGCCCTAAAACCATCCTCATTACGGGATCTTGGACCAGATTTTGAGGAATGTTTAGTGAGGTTGATGAAAGAAGATGAAGTGAGAGAAAAAATGAGTTGCTTGCAGTAAAATGGGAGTTTTGCCAAAAATGTGGGTCCCATTTTTTTTTATTTATTTACGCAATTGGTGCGCGTTCTCCCGCGGGGTGCGTTAAGCCTTATTATTATTTTTTTTTTCTAATTTATGATATTATTTTTTCTTTTTCTCTTTCCTCCCCTTTTCTCTTTTCTAATCACGTAAAAATTTCTCAAAATCCTACCACTATTGAGGATGCCCTAAGAATGCTCTAATGTATTATCATATAATCAACATTACAATAAACCCAACACTCACTTGAAATCATCAATGTGAAAAACTTATTTTTTTATACTTGAAATTTTTTTACAAAATGACCAATTAGTCATTAAATGATTTGACAAATCAAAATAAAATTTTAATGTTAACGAAATTTATAAGTAATGGATTGAAATATTTACTTTCAACATATTAAATGTTAAAAGTTGTATAGAGCAAAAATTTATAGATTGAGTCTATAATTTAGACACAAATACATAATGAAACCGTTTTCCATTTATTCCACAATAGCTATTTTTGTTATTGTTTTTAAGGAAAAAATAAAAAAGAAGATAAACCCTAATTCTGTATTTCTTGTTCTATGTAACGTTTCCAAGTTAACAGCCTCTTGTTCTAGAGAAGAAGCTCTGGAACCCTCACTATACGGAGGTATCAAACATCTTACTAATACCATTATGTATATACATAAACTGTACTTTCTGTGTTGGTTGTAATTGTTTATAAATCGGAGGGTTGTATTGAGTAACAGATGAGCATAGAACTGCCTGGAGCTTTTGAGTGTATTATAACATTGCAAGTATTTGAAGATTCATTTGATTTTCTGGCGACATTTGAGTGAATTCCAAACTCTATCTACAGGGACTTTAATTACCCATTCATCCCTGTTAGGAAATCGTAATCTGTTTTTGGAGATAAAAACAAAATAACATCTCAATCCTCCAGAGAAATGGACTGAATTGTTTCTGCAGTGCAATTGCTTGCATATTTAGAAGTATTTTTGCTTGGTAATTTGATTAGACTTTTCATAAAAGTTTGTATAACAAACAATTAATTGAAATTTTCTACAAACAATGAGTTTCTATAATTTATTGTGCTTTTAATTTCCAGCTTCTTGCAAATTACTAAGTATTGATTATGATTCATTCACTCCATGTTCTGTTTCTTTGCACTAATCACATTCTTCAATTTATTATTTTTATGCATTGTTGTTGCCATGTATACATCAATTAGATCTGGAATAAATGTGATGGATTGCATTCATAATGCTGAGGGATTAAAACGATAAACAAATTTGTTGGCATGTGTGCACCAAAAAGGCTATCACATTCTCTCTTGTTCCATCTTCAGACAGGAGATACAAGATATGATATATAATGTGATATATGATTAGTGTTCCAACATGGCATTGAGATTCTGTGTCACATGAGCCATTGCCAAGAAAGCATTTGGTGCGACTTGTTCTTAAATCTTACTCTGTTTGTTTATGAGCTTAAAGTATGTTACTCTCTATGATTCTTTTGCTGTTTTATTTTGGTTAGTACCAATATTACTTGTTTGGCCAAAAGTGATAAAATTAGCACTAGTTCATTGGTTTTTGATGGCATGATTTTTCTAGTAAAAGCTTGAAAAGTTTGGTGCCAAAATTTTGCTCTTTTTTCTGTTTCTTTTCATTTTTAAAAAATTGTTTGAGACATTGCTCCTGCATTGTGGTAAACAGTTGCAATCAATCAAACCATGTAATTAGGATGAACCCAGTGTACAAGAGGTTGTTATAAGCTTTTTACTGGCTGAAATTGAATATTCCAATTTTCCTTTTGTCATATCCTACCTTCCTATCTTGCTTGTAGTGTGGATATGGGCAAATTTATTTTGCATTTATAGTTATATACTATTTGTCATGTGCGATTGTAAAAATTGTTATATTTACTGATAGGCTCTAACTCTGTAAATTCAATGATCAGATGGCACTAAGAGGTATTTGGCAACTTCAGAAGCTGGTAGTGAGCTACTGTGATTGGGGAGGCAGTAGCAGGGGTTTAAGGTGAAGTTTTTTTGTATCAGCATCTGAAATAAAAAAACCTCTCTATTTGTAAGCATTGACCATAAAAGAAAATCTCGTCTAAGTGACTTTTAAGGTTAGGGTTGCTGTAAATTATCCTTAAATTAGAGAAAATATTCTCAGTTGTTTCATTTTTAACTTTTAAGTTGAAATGCCCAATATCAAATGGTAATAGAACTTGGATCAAATGAGGAAAAATAAGAGTTAAATTTTGATTTGGCACTGCTTTGCAGTTTCTATATGCCTATGTAGACCATTAGAACCCCAAAAATAATCAATGGGCAATCGACACATTTGCTGGAAATGTGTAATGCAACAATTTAATTGAAGATGAAATTGTTAGGGCAATTAATTAAAAGTGTGTTTAATGTATTAGGGTATGTATGGAGTCTCATTTGCCAGCTCTCAAGGAGGTCAATCCCCATCTGCAAGTAGTCACTGAGCTCAATCGTGGTCAACATCCATTCTTGAAGGGATTATACAGTACGAATATCCGTCTTACCCCCACCCCCTTCTTGCTCAATTGTGATCAGCATCCCTGTCTACTTCTACTTTGCTTTTGTGTGTATGTGTGGTGTGGGACAATCATGCCCTTTATTTTGATGTTCAGAAAACAAGAATGAGCGGGTTGTATCTGTTAAAAACTTGGCTCCGGAGGAAATTCTCTTACAAGCTACAAGGCTAAGGAATTCACTTGGGCGAAAAGTGAAGTTGAAGACAAGACATGTTACTAAACACCCAAGTGTTCAAGGCACATGGAGTACAGAATTGAAGATGTAAGCCAAGTGGTCAAATATGAAAGGACATGACCTTTGGTTTGTTTTCTTTGAATCCTGTATTTTGGCACTGCCATGCCATGTAGCTAGGTTTTGATAGCCAAACTTGATATATATTGAATGATCCACTGTTTTTTGGTGAAACTGCTGCAGTGGTGGCTTTTTAATTTGGTTCCTCTCCTAGGACTCTGAATTAATAATATGTTGCCGCAGACATTGGTTTCATTTTAACATTTCAAACAAAGTCTTCCTGATTGAGCTCCAAGATTTAAGAATGTACGGGATTAGCTCAATGGTTTAGTAGGTAGTATTTGAAAAAATAGATCAATGTTTGAATCTTGGCGACGGTAATGTGAGGATTATGTTGAAAGTGGACAGATCCCTTGCATATTGACATTTGATTTGATTTGCTGAGTCATTTGAGTCACCATAATTTACATTATTCAAAATGTTATGTGAGATTGACGTATAGGGATTGGGGATTCAACTTTTTAAGAAAAAAAGATTTGAGAATGTATTTCTTAGCTTTCAAAAAAAAGGGGGATTCAACTTTTTAAGAGAAAAAGATTTAAAAATGTATTTTTTAATTTTCAATCGTGAGATCTATTTGGATAAATATTTCATTTTTTTATGATTATATCTATTAGATGGAACAAAATTACTCCGTAATTTAGAAAATAATTTGTGATCTTAAAAACATCATTAACGCCCTGGGTTCTTGAGCTGCTTTCTGCCTTTCTACACCCTTCTAGGAGTTCTAGGAAGGGGTGGTTTTGTCGGTAAGGACGATTTTTTGGTTGGGTTATAAGGATAGGACAATTTTTATTGAGATACAAATTTACCTATTATAAATAAGTAAAACCCTAATTATTTCAGAATTTTAATTATCCGTATTCCTTCTCCCTTCCTCTTTTTACGTTCGGCCATCCATTTGGGAGAAGAAAGATACGAAGCTGTAGAACGGTGTCTGTTTGGGTGGTGAACGGCGGCGTTGTGACGACGGCGTGCGGTGGCCTGCGGCAGTGTGTGAGGCGGAAACCGGCGGCAGTGTATTTCCTCTCAACCCTGTCTACATTTGTCTCATTTATTTTTTGGGTTTTTGTTGGTTTCTTGCTTCCCTGTAGTTCCCTGTAAAGTCTGTGTCTTGTTCGTTTCTACTGTAATAATGGTGAAAAATGAGAGCGGCCAAGAGAAGCCTCTGGCTCTGGATATATTTTTGATTATTCAATTATTTCAATAGGATGAACGGACGGCGAAGCATACCAATGCGAGCAATAAAGTTACAGCTCATCTCATTGCCTTTAAAACTTTATCTGTTTGGTGTAGTGAAATGAAAACAAGCTCTGTTTTTTTTTTTTTTTTTTTTAGCACAACTTTTTGTGCTGAAGTGATATTGATTGGTGATGTGTTTGCAGATCAAAATCCTTGCTCAATTAGAAGCTGCATTTGCACTTCTTACTTCAAACTGACAGAAACAGCAGAGGTAAGCTCTAAACTTGCTAAGTTTTTCTTATGTGTCTGAATAATGTAAGCCTTGTATAATCATTGTTTTGTGGTTATAACTTAATATGACCCTGTAGTAGTATTTAAGAACAAATGGAATGTTAAATAAGCTTATGTGCTGGTAGTATCTGACTTGTAGATTAGTTCTACTGCAGAATGCTAAAAGTTCTAAACTGCATCCCAAAGTCTGGGAATGAGGTATATAAATAAAGTTATAAATGACAGTATTGGAAGAGGAACTAGGGGTATAAGCTGTTGGAGACAATTAGGTGTTTTAAGTAATGATTTGAGATGGATTACTAGTTGTATAGTCAAGCTGATTGAGTCATAAAGAAATGAAATTCGCATTGTTTGAAGGATTTTGACTCATTCAATGATTCTATAGAAAAAATGAAATAACATAGAGGCTATTAGGTCCATTAGGATGCATATTGTATTTCAATACACTAGTGTTATCGATCAAAATCCTTGCTCAATTAAATAGTAAATATATTTTTTTTTTGAAACCAAATATTAAATATTTTGTTTACTTCTCACATTTCTTATTGTCTAATGTTTCAATATAACATTTTAACAATTACCCATGTTTCACATGTCTAATATGTTCATGTCTCAATCCCATCGTTTCTTTTCTCTTTTTTTCTTTTTTTTTGGGTTTTTGTTGGTTTCTTTTTGTTGTGCTCTTTTGAATATCTCCCTTAGTGCAAAGAAGATAGATAGCCATGATATGTTAAAATATTGTTTTGAAAAATAAAATGTAGTTTGGCATTTTTTGTGTTTTTTTAACCTATATCCACATATCATGGCTTCACCGAGGCCATGTTATATGTATAATCATAACACAAGAAACATGTTTTAAGAAGCATGGATTGCATTGATTTTTCTTATTTTTTAATATAGTACTATTCTTTTACTTTTTATGTTACATTTATTTTCAATATACTATGTGTACTCCAATTATCTAGTTTTAATCCATACGATAACGTCCTCCGGGGAGTGCATGTTATGTAATGAATTATTATTAACGTTCTCCTGGGAGTGCATTTTTTATGGGTTACAAAAATAGGACACTTTTAAAAAGTGTGCATAAATAGGAAAAGAGAATTCATGGAATGCATGTTTGGTTAAAAGGTAAAAAATTATGGTATTATACGTGTATGTGTATACTTGTATAGTATTGTAACAATAAGAAAAAAAGATAGTATATACGTATAATTGCTGTTAACCTCATTAGTTCCTTAATCATTTATAATGGATACTAGTTAGTTAATTAGTATGTAGTAATTATTACATAATAATTTGGAAAGTTAAATGTAATTAACAATAATTTGTAATTAGTGTATAATAGTAATGAAAAATAATTGTTTAATTATTATGAATCATAAAAGTAATGAAATTAGCAATAATAATTACATAATGACTATAATATTTTGTACTTAGATGTAGTAATTATTCTTTAGTTGTAATATAATAAGATAAAATAATTTATGATTACTTTAATAATAATAATAAATAATTTATAGCCAAATTATTTATAAAATAATATTACTTATTACGTAAGAATTTAAGAAATAAATAGAATAATAATGTGCTTGCAAATAAAAGAGAGTGATAAATTGTTGTGTTCATATTTATGATTCATTTAACGTACTCATTGTAGTACACTCTTCTAAGAAGACTCCCTCTACGGCGGTGACGCCATGGCGGAGCTGGACCCTTCCGCCGCCACCACATCGAGTATCTTCTCTCAGAAGAACCTACGTCCTCCTGATGATACTGTTTTCTTCTCCATTTTCCCCGACTTCGCTCTACACTCTTCTACCTCCTCCGCTGCAACTACCTCTGAACTCCAAGCTCTCCACCTCCAAATCCTCCAAACCCTTGCACCCTACACCTCCAACTACATATGGCAGCACGAGCCCTTCAATCTGTCTCTCTCGCCTACCGCCCCGCCCCACCTCAGTGGCAAGCTCCGCTTCGGCGATAACCTTGAAGATGAATGGTTTGTGGTGTTCCTCTTGTATGAAATCTCCAGGAATTTCCCAAACCTCTCGATTCGCGTATGGGACAGCGACGGCGAGTTCCTACTCATCGAAGCCGCCTTCCACCTCCCTTGGTGGCTCAACCCTGACACCGCCATGAATCGTGTTTTTATACGCCGCGGTCGCCTTCACATTATCCCCAACTCCATCTTCCACGACACTCCATCCCTTCAAGGCGCGCTAAGGTTGTTAATAGACGATGCTGAGGAGAAGACGAAAGCGCCGGAGCCTGTTCAGCTTCAATTGGAGAACAGGTTGAAAGAATACCCTCTGAGGGCGGAGAAGAACGTGCAGAGAGTGAGGGTTAGAGTCCCGGTGCCTGTCGCACAAGTGTTGAAGCATGAACCGTGCTTAATTTCACTTGCTGTGGAGGGGTTTTATGATAGGGACATTGATACAATGAAGTTTGCGGCCAAGATGGAGAGGTTTTTGAGGAATGGAAGTGGGGAAGAGCTGGTACCAGTGGCCGTGAGGATGTCCAGGGCGATGTATGCCCAATTGGTGCAGCAGGCCTTCCAGGCGCCAAAATGCTACCCACCATTGCCGCCTAGGAGCGATGTGGCAGCCTACTTGGAGGCTGAGTTGGGGTTGAAAATTGCATGTGGACTTGAGATGATATACCAGCTAAGGAAGATGCAGGGAATGGAGGGGAAAGGAAGTACATGGGAGGCTTTCAAGAAGAGTCTAGAAAAAAGTGGCTACTTTGAAGAGTTGTTGCCAGGATCCAATGAGTACAAGAGATTGATGCAAAACGCAGAGGAGTACTACAGAAACAGCTCATTACAAGCGAGAACAAGGTGTGTAATATTTTGGTTGTTAACTTGCTTGTTTGATGATAGATAGTTCTCTATTTCATGTGAAGCATGGACATTTTCTTTCATATATACATTTGCTAGTAATCTATTGAGGCTGTTTTTCTAAATGTTTGTGAAATTTTACTTCATTCCTTAAGCAGAGTTTGTAGTCTCAATACGTTTCACTCATGTGGCTAAAGCCATAAGTGGGAAATTGCACCTTGTTGCCCATTGTTGTGATCTGTTTCATCACATCACCTCTTGTTTTCACGAGCTTACCACTATTTTTCTGTTACTATCATCACTTGCTGTGTGATACCTTTCTTTTCACTCACTTTCTTCTTCTTTTGTGTTAGTCTTAACTACTTCTAAAAATTACAGTGAAATGTTGAATGCTCCAGTAAGACGCATAGATGAGATTCTTGCACTTCCCCATTCTGTGGATGATTTTAAGAATCTAGAGCTACCACCATCAGATGATGATTCATGGCTATATGGTGGGGAAGATGAGCTAAATGCTGCTCTTCAGGAGAGGCAGAAGGAGATGGAAGATTACAATTCAAAGCACAAAAAGAAACAAAATTCAAAAGAAGAACAGGCTGATTCTGAGAACTTGAATGACTATGATCTGAAAAATATTTCAAAGTCTATGCAAGCATTTGTTAAGAAAATGTCAAGCTACCAAGGAGCAGAAGTTCCAGAAAGCAGGTTAGTTGTTTTTGTTTTTGTTTTCTCTCTCTCTCTCTCTCTCTCTCAGAACACTAGGAAGTGGTGGTGCTATGTACCATACTTGATTAAATTAAGTGTGTCTAATGTCTATGTGTTTGTTTTAATACCATTTTGCAGATTGATTGATAGTTCTTTTCAGTAGTTTTGCCAAGTTTTAATGATTGTAGGTGTCAAATTGGATGCTGATATTCCTATTCTTATGTTAATGCCTGAAGAAAGAGGCCAGCTAATAACTTGGACCACTAGGTTCTTCCTATGATCTTTAACTATATTCGTAATTTAGGTGCAGGATATATTATCAGTTAAGTGCATAATTGATTAACATCATTAGCATGTTTGAGCAAACATAATGAAATAGCACTAAATCTGAATTCCCCACTCGGGTGTGGGGATTGGGATTCCCATAAGATGGCCATAGTAGACATGAGAAAGGTAGGGTGATCATGTGGGGGGTACAATAAAGGATCATATTTGACTGAAATATTCAATGCTTCACTTGTAAACATTTTGATGATGTTAAGAGATACATGGCCACAGTAGAGATCATAATGCTAAGATGATCGTGCGTCATTGCAAAGGGTTATAACCATATTAGCGTGAAATAGTGCTAATTGGAGACATATCATCCATGTGGATTAAGATGGTTTGCGGGAGTGGATTGCAGGTTTCCCTGGTTTTTTCTTATGTGTTTTCTACTTTGCAGTGATGTTTTACATGTATATTCCTTCCCTCCTAGTTGCTCTTTTCTGTTATTTTCTGTTTTAGGAAGGAGGTTGTGCACATTGAATTTACACATTAATTTGTAAGGCAAACATAAACTCTGTTACTAAACAAGGACTCTGCAGCAAAATGATATTTTGTGGAATGTACTTATTCTGGGCCTTTTAGCTCATTCTTGAGAAGGTTGTGCTATGTTTTGTGCTGGTACCATTTAATTTTCTTTGATGGTGATATGAACAAATTCACCCCTTGTTTTACTAATAGTGTATGTGTGTGTGTGTGTGTGTGTGTGTGAGAGAGAGAGAGAGAGAGAGAGAGAGAGAGAGAGAGAGAGTATATGTATATATTCCAGACAACCTTGATTCCTTGCTGTTTTGCCTTTGTGATTATTCATTGGTATGCGTGCATTAATTGTTCATCTTTTTTCTTCAATTGAAGCCTAAAAGATGTGGACTTTGACGTGGATCGCTTTATGGAAGACATTGATTCCTTAGCAAGACAAAAGGACTCTGAAGACAGTGGTAGTGAATTTGATATTGAAGGGCCAAATTCTGACATGGAATTTGGTAAGTTCTAGTATATGCATGTGTTTTAGGAAAGAACTTTACCTGTGAAATATATGGAGGCTTCATCTTGTTCTTGTTAAATGTGTACTAAGCATGGAATCTTCAACTGTCAGAAGTTGATTGTTCTAAAAGCAAATAACTTTTTCTTGAAAAACACATGTAATGGGATTTTGTGTCCAAATATGCCTTTAAGAAGCAACATGAAATTGTGAATTGAAATATAATAGCACACTTTTTATGCTAATAATATCAAGAATAGATTCCCTCTCTAGGGAATCAATTTCATATTGGGTCTTCTGCTTAATACATTTGGAGTGGGCATGCTATTCAACGGGATGCTTAATACATTTGGGGTCTTCTGCTTAATCAATTTGTTCTCAACTTGCAGATGAATCTGATGATGAGAGTGATGCTGAAGATAATGAAGTGGGAGGGGATCCTTTTATGCAGTCGTATGCACACGTTCTAAATGAGGAACTGAAAGGCACTTCACTAAGTAAAAGTTTTGCTCGTCCAGATGAACAACCTCTCAAGAAAGATGAGGTTAGTGTTCATTGAATAAATGCTTTATGATTCATGACTTGCCCCAACTCATTGGCCTAAAATGTTTCTATGATATTTTACTGTATGTGCTAGTTTGGGGCCATTCACATTGCGGTATACAATTGCTACTAATAAACTCTACCACACACACACAAAGAAATGAGAAGATGAAGCATTAGGTTTTTCCTTTTTGAGTTGATCGCTAACCTCACACCTCCCGTGTATATGGTGAACACAGGGAACATCTGCGGGTGCAGAAGGGACGGAGGAAGAGTTGGCGCCAGTGGACGTGGATTTCAACCTTGTGAAAAACCTTCTCGATTCATTTTCATCTCAACAAGGAAATGCCGGTCCGGCTTCCAACTTACTTGGGCTTTTAGGTATACACCTCCCTCAAGATGCTAATAGTAAAGGAAAATAAGTTGTCTGCATTGGAGTTTTAAGTTAAAGGAGATTTCAGTACTATTTTTGTATTGGGCAGTCAGCAGTTCATACTTGCACTACATCTTGTACAAACATATAGAGAAGAGATGATTGATTTCATGCCAAAACTTGTTGACCTTGCTTCATATATATGATGGTATTTGAATATCAATGAGGAATTCTAGAATATAAGTATTTAATAAGTATTTGAAAGATGTGTTCTGTGTTAATTATAGTTGGGCCGCATAATTATCTCTCCTGAATTAAAGATATTTTTGTTTTGTTTTTTATAGATTGCTGGTAAATTGGTTGAGACTAATATAAAGCGATAATTATTAGGGTCTTTAGTATGATTTTTTATTATATTATATGCTCAAACCATCATCATGAAATTTAATCTATTTTAAGTGATCATATACTTTATCCTTATAGATATTATTAAAAGTTTCACCAAATGCTAATATAATATGTTGCCATTAGTGAGTTTATGAGAATTTTTTTAAATTTAGTTACTAGCAACACGTTACATCAACCTTCCGTAAAACTTTTGATAAAATTGTTGTTCTATTAAAATATTATTATTCTTATTGTTATTTATTTATTTGGTTGATAATTACCTGTTTTTGCCCTTGAGCTTTATCAGGAATATTAAAAGTTTTAAAAATTAGTAATGTTGAAGAATGTAGAAAATTGGTTAATGACATCACACACTGCCTGGCAAAGGAAAAATAAAAATTCTTCAATTAAGAAAAATATAATATAATTACTTTGGAATAATAATACTATAATGGCTATAATTGATGTGGGCAGTGGGCAACTCCAAAAGCTCATCTTTTAACCAGCAGGCAGCAGCAATAGTTGCAAGAGACAAAATATTTTTCCTCTAATCCACCTACTTTGATTAAAAGGAACGATGCAAAAGCTGACAGTGACCCTAATACATAAATCACTTCTTCATTTATCATAATTACAATTGATAAATAACAAACAAATATAATTATTCAAGCCCAGTCAAATTATTTCGTGGACCCGGATTCACATTGCAAAGTGAACATGGATCTAAAAATATACAATTTACATACTGAATATTCACAATTTACATATTGAATGTTTACAATTTGAATTGTGAACATTTAGTATATATCTTCCTAAGGGCATCTGCAATGAGATTGAGAAACGGACTAGGCGTTTCATTTGGGGGCAAAACGACCAAACAGGGGAGAAAAAAATGAGCCTGGTAAATTGGGAGGTGCTCACTACAGAGAAGGCACGTGGAGGACTGGGTTTAAGAAACATGCATGCCATGAACAATGCGTGCATGACGAAGCTGTGTTGGAGGATTAAAACAGAACCAGACGCTTTGTGGACACGAACTTTAACTAGTAAGTACAAGCAAGAACCAGACTCGATCCGATTTGGGTCAGGTAGACGAAGCACTTCAAATGCTTGGAAAGGAATTGTGGCTGCTACAGGTATTCTGGAATCCGGACTCATGCGTGTGGTTCGGAATGGGAGGACGACTCGTTTTTGGCTGGATGCATGGCTTACCCCAAAACCGCTGTACGAGAAGCTGAGTGGATCTTTGGGGCTCTCCGAGTTCTACGCAAAGGTGGATGAATATTGGGATCGAACCAGAGGATGGAAATGGGAGGTATTGCGACAACACCTTCCAAGTGACGATCTAGAGCGCCTCGCCGGGTTTTGCCTAGCAGAGCCAAACGTCGAGGATGAGTGGGGCTGGGGCCCGGACACACAAGGACGGTTTACAGTGAGATCAGCATATAGCCTGGCGATTGCGCCCATAGCGAGGGAGGTGGACAAGGACTGGACTCTGATTTGGAAGCTGAAAGTGCCGGCCAAAATCTCGATGTTTCTCTGGCTTGCTAAACACCAGAAAATCATGACGAATTATGAGCGCACAAGGAGACACCTGACTTCTAATGAAATGTGTTTTCTTTGTGCAGGTAAGCGGGAGGATATGGACCATCTGTTCCGTAGGTGTGTTGCGGCGTCGCATATCTGGGGGCATGCCCTACACAGGTACGCGACGGAGAGATTGCAAAACCTCGACTGGGAAGCCTGGCTCAAAACAAATCTGCACGGTAATATGAAGGACGGATTTGTGGAGGGTTGGCCTGAGCGGTTCGCGACCAGAATGTGGTGGCTGTGGAGGTGGCGGAATGAGGGAACTTTTAATGGCACTAACGTGCCTTTAGATCACAAGCTGGATTGGCTGCGACGTTGCGATGGGGAAATTGCGAGCGCTTTCCTAGACAAAAGCCGGCCGTTACAAAGGTACAATCGGGACATCGAGGCTAGTTTGGCTTGGACGAGACCGGTGGAGGGTAGCTTGAAATTAAACGTGGATTGCAGCAGAAGGAATGATGGCCAAGCGACTTGTGGGGGTGTCCTCAGGGATAGCAACGGGACCTGGCTCCGAGGTTTTGGCTACAAAATTAGCAGGTGTACGACAGACGTAGCGGAAGCTTGGGGTGTTCTGCAGGGCTTGCGGATGGTCAAAGATTATGGTGTACGGCCCCTTGTTCTCGAGTGTGATTCGAAACCTTTGGTAGAGGCCTTGCGGCAGGGCGACGGCGATGGACATCTTTTAAACAATATCGCGAGGCTTTGCATTAGGGAAGCAGAAGATTTTCCAGATCTGCGCTTTGTTCACATTTACAGAGAACAAAATCGCCTGGCGGATAAATTAGCGGACATGGCTTTCTCTCAGCAGGAGGACCATATACTTCTTGAAACACCTCCTCTGGAAACGGAGGAGTTGCTTGCCCTCGATAGGGTAGGAGCTGCATCGACCAGACGTGTATGTAGACAATGAGCTGCTGCTCTTAGCTGCGTTGGGTTTCCCCCTCCTTTCTGATCCAAAAAAAAGAACATTTAGTATATAAATTGTATATTTTAAACTTGATCCACCTTACAAATCCATAGTATAACTGTTGTCAAACCCCATTAATATTTTTCTTTTTAAAATTAAGCTTATAATTTCTTCAAATAGCAATTATGAAACTTTTATCTATTGTCATCAAAATTCTAACCAAATAATCATATCTATACAAGATTTTCTTTATATGCGCACGTCGAATACTAGTTTTAAAGTAAGGACTGAGATGGAGGCTAATTATATGCCTCTATTCAACAATGGCTTAATAATGCTATCCAACTATATGCTCTTGTCAACAAGCAATACATACCTTAGTATTAAACCACATAAAATCATCACTAAATTGTGGACTATACATCACATATATAAAAGATATGTTCCAATAACTAAACTATTAACTATCTCCAATTATGGCCTAAATTACATACCTCAACCAATTATTCAATATAATTTAATCATAAACGATGCATCCTCATGCATATCTTTTAATCTAGTTTGGATCTGGAGACAGAATTTCAGGCAAATTGGTCAGATAGTTGGCTGAATCACAGTGGAACGAATGTTGATTTGTGTCCAATCCATGATTGATGAAGAGCATATTGTATGTTTTCTTTGTTTTTCTCTTTTCTGAAAGGTAAGGTCCCAAACAATGAACAAACAACTTTTACTGAAAATTCCAGCCTTCTTCTCAATAACTTAAAGAGTACTGAAAGTATGGTCTGAAAAGGAAGGTTGCCAAACCCCCCACCTAAAAGTCAGCTGGTGAAGAAAACAATAGGTAACCATGAACAATAAACAATTCAAAAGGGGTGGCCAATCACATGCTTTTATCTTTATGTATCCTCCAATCATCAATGAAAAGTTAGAGATTAGTAGTGACAATAGTCTATCATTTATCAATAATATAAAAGGTATTGACAATGGTGGTGGTTCACTACACTAGTCAGGGATTGGGAAAAGGAAAGCTTATATTACAACACCAGTCAAGATACTTGCCACATAGCCCACACGGGCTTAGCTCACTGGTTTAGTAGACAGTATTTAACAGAAGATACTTGCCACATATTCACAGGTGCCCATATTTACACTAAAATGTCAAAAGGATGGTCTCACTTTCTATGGCAAACCTGAAACGATGCAAGAGTACTGAATAACTTCAGCTGTAAGTTGATATTCGTGCTCTCTAAACGAAATAGAAGAAATGGTGGTTCTTCCGCTATTACTAGATGCTGATGCAGAAGAGCGTGAATGATTCTAATCAAGTACAGATCGAGGAGGATTAAGCAACGACCTCAAAAATTCTGGAGTGAGGAAAGCCACTGCTCCATGTATTTCTTACCTTCTGCAGATCGATACAATCAAATCAAAACACGAACATCAAATACACGTGGAGACATGAAAGTTGGATATTAAAACTTGTTTTTTTTCTTGAAACGGTGAGTTCACTAGTGATATATAGACGAATGAATCTACAGAATCACATGATAAAAATGACTAGTATCAATTACACCCAATGAATATCCACAAACCTTTGATCTCTTAGTCACGCGACCTCTTCCTCAACATATATACTTGGCTGAGGCCTCATCGGTTCGTTCAAATGTTCAATACAAACAATGGAAAGCTCGCAAGGATAACTCTAAAATGAATCACACAAGTCTCTACTGCATATTAAGCTTTTCAATAATGGAAGAGGCAATTCAAGAACATACCAATGCTTTAAATTCCAGATGTGTATAATATGAATATACAGTACAATCAAATCTTATCTTACACCACTCACAAATGAACAGGGAATTCAAAAGGGAAGCTTTAATTTAACTAGCAATCCTAATACCAACAAATCACTGCCAATCAAAGGAAGCTAATTTATCAACAAAAATCTTCACCATTTATAGTAAACTAACTACAAAAAAGGAAAAGAGGTCTTACCAGGAGAGTACTCATTGGAAAGGCTCTTAATGGCACTCAAAACCTGATTGCTGGGCTCTTCAACAACTAATGCCTTATAGCAAGGAACCAACACAGCAAAACTATTGTCTGCCTCATCATCACTCTGGAAATCAGGGGCGTGTGGTTCCAGCCACCCAATTGACCAGTCAGAATCATCGGATTCAGACCCTGATAAACAAACATCATCAGATGCCACCAACACCACATCGTACTCCTCCTTATCAATCATCCCCCTCCTCCTCTCTTCCCTACTATTCCATTTCCTCTTCACCTTCCTAGTTGAAGGGCTCACAGACCACAACTTCACACTCTCTGCTTGCAAAGAATTTACCGAAGACCCTTTAGCTACCGACTCTTTCTCCTTCCCACCCCACACCCACCATGAGAAACGAGACAAAGAAACAGCCATTTCTTCGGATTATCAATACATATGAATAGAATTCAACTCAAGCTCCAAAATAGGAGGAACTTAAACTGGCTTGCACGAATCAAACAAAAAAATAATTAAACAATTCATCGGTGCGCAAACAATGGGCAAAGAACTACCAACAAAAGTATCATAAAACAGAAGACTACTTCAATCATCAACCCTTCCCTTCAAAACTTTCTCATAAACTTGATTCCAGCCCCGAAAAATCTTCTTAAAAACCCAAAACTTTTTTCTTACATTTTGGGACTATTCAATCCTCCAAAAGTCCAAAAAAGCAGACAAATTGTTTCATTAAAAACAAAAAACAAAAATCTCACAAGATTAAAAATATCTTGACATTGATAAAATCAAAAGGGACTACGGATGATGCAGCAAGATTGGGACTTTTGGAACTCAAACGACCATTTTCAGTCGGGCCATCCGAAATAGTTTCGCCCCGAAACGGAAAGCTACGGGACAAAGCAGCAAACGGTGAGACCGCCGGGAAAAAACCGGAATTCTCGCCGGAAAGCTTACACCAGAAACGGAAAAAAAGAATATTTATGACGGAGTAGTAACCACTACTCAAAGGCGCTAGCTTGCTCCTCCATAACCTCCATCCTATCACTCTCTCTCTCTCTCTCTCTCTCTCTTCTTCCTCTCTCGCCTTCTCTCTCTAAACTCTGTCACGATTCCCCCACACTCCTCCTGCAGTTAGGTGATTGTTTTCTGGCGGGGCCAGTATTTATAGGCACAGCAGGCGTGTACAGTTAGTTAGCTAAATTTACATCTTTACCCCCAAAATTTGTCTTATTTTCATATCATCATTTTTTTTTCAAGACATTATTTTGTTATTGGTTCACCTCGATAGAGACATCTTCAACTTTTTTTAATTATATTTTTGTGTATAGTTTAGTAGTCTATTTAAGTATTACTCTGATTTTATAAATTTAAAATAATTAAATTTAACATATTTTTAAATTTTTTAGTAGAAAATAAAAACATATAATATTTTTAAACTAATGATTGAGTTTGAAAAATAATTTAAAAATTAGTTTATGTTTCTCTATTTTTACAAAATCTGAAAAACTTAATTTTCTTTTTATAAACAATCAAAATCAAAATCAATTACAAGTGATTGATAAAGCTATCATATTTCTAACCTGACAATAAAATGGACCTGACATATATAATGCTTGACTTTAGTGTGTATATGTTTTATTTATATCAATTTGAATAGGTAAAATTCAACGGATTAGATTTCGAGGATATATAATATCATGCTATCTTTATTTTAAATAGAAATAAAAATTAAATAATTCATCTAATTGCATGTAAATTTTTAATTGTATCATCTAATTTTAAAAAAAAAATAGAATTGCGTTTTTGAATATCTAAAATCATATAATTAAACAAAAAGTGATACGTACTCTCAATTGTAAATTGATGTAAAAATACTCTTTTTTTTTGTTGACTTCATTTTTTTAATAGCTCTAAACACACAAAAAATCATATAATAACTTTTGAATGTTATTTTTCGAGTTTCGAAACAAACTTTTTGTGACTCATTTTATAATAGTCAAATCGTTTTTGAAAGTCTAAAAAAATGTTTTTGGGAAAAATGATTTCTAGAATAATTTTATTTTTTAATGTTTGGTTGAGGGTAGAAAATTGTTTTTTTTTTTATTTGGCTCAAATTTAAGAAATTGTATTTTTTTTTTGGATAAGTTATTTTTCTAAAAATGAACATATTATTTGCTATATAATAATAATAATAATAATAATAATAATAATAATAATAATAATAATAATAATAATAATAATAATGAACATATTATTTGCATAAGTTCGTCTACATTCAATTGATCACATACTTTGGATACAAAATATACACACTATTAATGATTTTTGGACTTTGGTTACAAATGTAAAATGTTGACTCCGTCAATGGTTTGCAATTAAATCATGTTAAATAATAAATTTAAAATTATAAGGATGTGACATGACATATTAAATTTTAAATTTTATACATTGAAATTTACGGAATAAGATATTAAAAAAAATATTGTTATAATTAACACATAGTTTCTAGTAACAATGTTTGATGTATATGTTGGACAAAAAACTAAAGCAAATTCCCAATCAGTGCGTAACAACCACACACCTCCTACAATCGATCACCATCAACCTTCCACACTCTCATGCCTATAATTACTTGTTCCTCTTCCTACCAATGCCAATAAACTCCACGTGTCTTTTGATTTGAGACAATGAAATTTTAAATTTTAAAATTTATTAAACAAGGATTGACCCAATAATAACATAATTAAACAAGTCGACAATTTTTACTATTGGCACTAAAAATCTCTCAAGTTAAAAAATTTATTATAGTGATTATGAATTTTTTTCGTCCTTTATTTTGTCCATAAGTCATTGGTAAAAGTAAGTTATAATAAAATTGTAATGTGTGTGAGCTGATAAATTAAAAATTAAAGAATTCAAAATTTATTATATATTTTTTTGCATCTCGCAAGATAATAATATTAATCCGATCAAATTTTGATCGGAATCATTTATGAGGTAAATCTCCTAATAGTATTATTAGATGAGAAGATATTGTTTGCATAGGCAGCTCAACTGATTGTATAGGTGAAATTTGTCACAAGAGACCAAAGATCGAGTCTCACTAGCGGCTTCAGCTTCTGTTGATCAGTTGAGCCCCTTAATAAACTACTATCAGGTTCGGGATGAGTGATTCTATCTATTTGTCACAAGATGAGAAGATATAATTACCAAACACATTATAATTTATTAGGCTTGATTCTGTATTATTTAATGATGTCAACAGCGAAATTAGTGAGCAGTATCATAAATAAAGATAATTAGAGAGGTCGGCATGAAATTTAGGCTAATTACGTCATTCCATCCAATAAATTAAATGCGTAACGGTAATTGCTTAGTTATGAAATAGGGAAAATGGCACTTTTCCCCCTATGTTATATACTTATAGCACTTTTCCCCCCTCAATTATTTATGTAAACACATTAGTCCCCTCAATTATTTTAAAAGTGGTGGTTTCTCCCCCTAATATATTAAATTGACATTTCTACCCTTAAAGTAAACATTTTATTTATTTTACTTCTCCAACAAATTATTGCGTATATGTAGCGATTACCACGGTTCGGTTCGAACTGAACCAGACACTATAGCAATCGAATTAAAATTTTTCAGTTATGATTCAGATCTAGAACCCAATATTTGGATTTCAATTTATTAAATTTAAGAATAAAAAAAACTGGATCATGAACTGGCGGTTCCGGATCCCGTTCGCGATTTTGAACCGTCTTTATTTTAAAATAGTTTAAATTCAACAATAAATGTATTTTATTTATTCAGTTCGGAACATGAACCGGCCATTCCAGTTCGCGATTTTAATAAACTCTAAATATCGCGTTTTGATTATAAATTTTAATTGGAATATTTTAGTTTGAACCAAATTATAGTAATAATTTATTGGAGAATAAAAATAAATGAAATATTTATTTTAAGGGTAAATATGTCCATTTAACATTTCAGGGGGAAAAAGAGCCACTTAAATAATTGAGGGGGAAAAAGTGCTATAAGTATATAACATGGGGGGAAAAAGTGCCATTTTCCCTATGAAATATGAACTGGCAAGGCGGTTTTTTTTTTTTTTTTTTTTTCTGACAAGAAGGCACTTGGCCAATTTGCGTGTTACTTCAAACCAATTTTCACGTTACATTTATTATTATTAGAGTTAATACCCAAAATCGTCCTCAATTATAGTGATTTTTCTCAATTTCGTCCTAAACGACTTTGGTGACCTAATATCGTCCCAGACTTTTGTGTTTCGCTCAATTTAGTCCTAGACTTTTGTGTTTTTTCTCAATTTAGTCCCTCATTTGTTATTCTGTCCATTTGGTGTTAAATAAATAGACAATTCAGTAATTTTAATATTGGCATCTCTTTACTCATAGACATGTGAATTGCGAAATCCCTTTTTTTTTATGAATTACTCACAGAATTACTCCTAAAACTGCGAATATAAAATTTGATTTGCAGGTCCGGGAGTAATTCTGGGTGTAATTCGTACAAGAAAAAAGAATTTCGCACTTCACAAGTTGAAAGTAAAGAGAGATCAATATTGACATTACTGAATTGTCCATTTATTTAACACCAATTTGATGGAATAGCAAATGGAGGACTAAATTGAGCGAAACACAAAAATTTGGGACGATATTAGGTCACTAAAGTCGTTTAGGACGAAATTGAGAAAAACCACTATAGTCGAAGACGATTTTGGATATTAACTCATTATTATTATTATAATATTATATTATCTATATTTATTTTACTTTTAATTAATTATAATTAATATTTTAAAATTTTAATTGTAAAAATGATTAAATATACTCTCAAACTGTATACAAGAATATAACTAATTAGATTCTCAAACTTTTAAAAATTACAATTAAGCATACCAACATGTCAATTTAATGCATCAAAGTTCAAAAATCAGTTAATGATCTTTGATAGCAGGTCACTAAAGTTTCGACGATACTCCAACGATATTCCAACTACTTCCGTGAAGAAATTGGCAACCGGTTGCCTTTATTACGACCAACAGGTCACTAGAGAAGTCGATTGGAGAAGGGTGGCTAGTTGGTCGCCTTCTCCAGTGACCTGCATGTTGTGGGATTCCTTCGAGAAGTTGTCAGAATATTGTCGGAGCATTGCTGGAACCCTAGTGACTTGCTCACTAACTGAGATTTGGTTTCGATGTACTAATTAACATGTTGTTATACTTAATTGTAACTTTTAAAAGTTGAAAGACTTCATTAACTTTTTATATAAAATTCGAAATGTATTTGATCTTTTCCCCATTTTATTTTGAAATAATGGTGAAAAGGACAAGGACAAAGCATGAAGAAAAAGAAGAGAAGAAAACAAAGGAAATGAAATGATACTTCCTGGAAATTGGGCACGAGAAAATCGAACACAGATCTGTTGATAGTATGGCATTTGTCTTGCAGTGGACCTCAGCCGCATTTTAATCTGCACTACTTTTATTAATTTTATTATAAGTCCAACTTTATATTATCTCCAATTATTCCCTGCTTACATATTCCTTCCTATACGGTCCATTTCATAGACATAATAATATATATGCTCAATCGTTTATCATTCACCTACCATAGTCCCATCACCTAAATTGCTGCCCTGTAAATTGTCAGAAATATCCTTTTACTTGGTGGATGACACAATTTTTTAAAAATATTTTAAATTGTGTATAGGAACATACATCATCAATATTAAATATTAATTTAATGTGCATTCATGTTCCGAAAGTATCTTTTTGCAGACACAAGAAAGCATTCATTAATGGGATATATTGTTATGGAAACTTACAATTTTGTACTTCAATTTAATTGAATAAAAATATTTATTATAATAGGAATGTTAATTGTTAAGACAGATCATGGATTAATGATGTATTTGGGAGAAGAAGGTCATGGATTAGTGATTGTAAAATAAATATATACTAGTAGTCATAATAATGCTTGTGACAAAAAGGTGGGATCATCCACCTCAGGTGTCCCACACCTCGATCTAATAATTCAGTCGTGACGCAACTGATTGCTCGTTGCGCACAAGGAGTCCCTCATTTTAAAAGGCTGTTCTCACACTGTGGCTA